AGTTTGTCGGCCAAATACGTTGATGCAATGCATGATTTTCTGCATCCGAGGTCCTCCTGGGATGCCAGAGCTGTAGCTCGTGGCGCGGTGCTGCGGATGAGAATGTTTTATCTTGCGTCATCACCATATGGCAAGTCATGCTTTCTCTGCACTACAATCTCAGGAATCAAGATTGTTTATGCTGTGGCTGTATTGGGCCTTTCCCCTTCTTAAACGCCACATTGGAGGTCAGTTTGACCGTGGGTCAAATCAAGTGACACAGTCTCCCTTCTCCAACATGAGGAAACATAAACAACGTTAAAGTGTTTTCTATAGCAAAGGAAGTACTTCAACAGCCAGAACAAAATATGTGGAAGATGGAAGCAAATAATTATCTAAACGCACAAAGGATTCTTCAACAGCAAAATTGTAATGACAACACACTTTGCATGTTAAGATTGCACCACCATTCTTAAGACTATATCTCCACACATACTTTTTATGGCCACTGGTTTAAAATGCTGGTCAATAAAATGTAAGCAGTGGACAATTATGACTATACTGTAATGAAAGTGTCAATAAGGTTGAAACTTGTTTAAGTTGGCCGGGTCTTTCTACTGCCCAAATTTAAAATACCACAGACTTATCTGTTAATGAGCTGGTGGCCATCACAAGGCTGGGTACAATGTTCTTAAGGGGAGTGATGTCATCTTGACCTGCAAGACATGCTGGTACTCGTGTTATGCATTGCTATTAAATCTAGAATTTTGTGTATATATTACAAAGTATGAGCCGGTGTTCATTCCCATTGGAGGTCCTGCTGTAAAAAAATCTACATTCCTATGACAAGAGCCCATCTTTCTATATCAACGCCACACATTATTATTCTATCAACCACGAGGGAAACGAAGGCAAGACAAAATCAGCAACCAGGATTAACACTTTCATAAAAATGCGAGCTGAAAAGATATACAAATAGCTGCAGTCATATTCTTAGTTTTTTCGGTAAAGTCACGTTGAAGAGAAACAACAAAATAATAAAATATATATTTTTTATGGTTAATACACTGTAGTGTGCTTCTCTGACAAATGTGCCTTTGGGAAAATTTATTAACAGAAAAAACAGGTGATTTCATACATTTTGTAATAAAAACCAGTAACATTTTCATACCAGAAGCCACCCAGTACAACTCACATATTTGGTACCAAGTTGAAAGTTTAACAGCTGCTGCCAGATAATTTTAATAGGTCCTGTACCATTAATCAAAGCGTGCCCTCTGCTATGAAGACCGTGAGGGCCCAGTGAAAGTGACACAAATGGATCACCATGTACCGATGTCACAAACACAACCAACATATTCTTAGTTTTTTCGGTAAAGTCACGTTGAAGAGAAACAACAAAATAACAAAATATATATAAAACAATAAAAAATTATCACGACGTTTCGACCATAACTCAAACGGTCATCATCAGGTGTGAAAATCACAGCAAGAAAATTTGAAAAAAGTGGCGGGTTTTTTTTTTACGTTAGCACCACGGAGAGCGATTTGGCAGTTATTCAGATGGACGAGTCCATCTATGTTCGGAAAAGAGGAGGGGGGAGACGAAAATAATGGATGCGGTCTGAAAGCCACTGTAAGCGTGAACAATAAATTAAGACCCGAAATGGTTTATCAAATCCTTCCAATGATTGCTAAGCCAGAATCCATCTTCTCGGTTGAAATTGTCTCTGTGTTTGTATATGTGGATAGCCTCATGAACAAATCTCTCATGGTAGCCAGATGGCTTGCAAAAAACCTCTGTCTTGGAGAAGTCAATGTCATGTGAGCCTACTGAATTATAACAGTGATCTGCCACGGCCGAGGTGTTGGTCCTACCGTGTTTTAGGTCTGCTTTGTGTTCACGAATGCGGTCCGAGACATGTCATTTGGTTTCTCCAATGTAACTACTACCACAGAGGCAACTTGGTTTGTAGACGCCAGGGTACTGTATGTCCGGAATCACATCTTTTACAGACGGAACCAGATCACGGATTTTATGTAATGTGTTGAATCGGACCTGGATCTTGTGTTTATTCAAGATTTTGGAGATCTTTTTTGTGATCCCCGCAATGTAGGGTAAAGTGATGGATTTGAAAGGCTCCTCAAGAGGGTCCTTCTTCATGGTTGGAGTGATAGCTTTGCGGATTGTGTAGTCGGAGTAACTATTAGCCTTAAGAGCTTGGTGTACGTGCTTGAGTTCACTGGCTATGTGTTCCTGGTCGGATGTGCATTGGGCTCTATGGTGCAGAGTCTTGATGAGGGAATTCTTCTGGGATGGATGGTGGTGGGAATCCGGTTTCAGGTAAGCATCCGTATGGGTAGCTTTCCTGTAGACAGAGTGGCTCATTAAACCATGGATTCTGGCTTAGCAATCATTGGAAGGATTTGATAAACCATTTCGGGTCTTAATTGATTGTTCACGCTTACGGTGGCTTTCAGACCGCATCCATTATTTTCGTCTCCCCCCTCCTCTTTTCCGAACATAGATGAACTCGTCCATCTGAATAACTGCCAAATCGCTCTCCGTGATGCTAACGTTAAAAAAACGCCACTTTTTTCAAATTTTCTTCCTGTAGTTTTCACACCTGATGGTGATTGCTTGTGTTGCAGTCGAAACGTCGTGAGAATTTTATTGTTTTATATTTTCATTTCATTGTTTCCCTTCTACGTGACTTTACCGAAAGAACCAAGAATATGAATCCCTGCAGTCACGAAAGCTTTAAATCAGATTGAATTACTATTCTTGGTTCTTTCGGTAAAGTCACGTAGAAGGGAAACAATAAAATAATAAAAATATAAAACAATAAAAAAAGATTGAATTACTGGTTAAGATGCAGTCACTGATTGCAGTGTCAGGGAATGAACATTACTGTTGATTACAAACATGAAATTGGGTGTGTTCTCTAATCCACGTTTGACTCGTTCCCTAATTGTATTCTTTACACACTTTCCCCATGTCCATGATTCATGAAAACAAGCATTCGAGCACAAGAGTTTGGGTTGGACACAATCAGAATCTTTATTTATTCTGAAGGAATCCCATGCGCCACGAAGCTATTTTCACAGATGTCAAGTAGGGTCACAGCATTCATGCGTGTGCGTGATTTTTCTTCCTTTTATTTCAGTTGTCAGCGTCCAAAAAGGAGTTAAAATAGAAATAAAACACCGTCAACGCATTCGTCAATAACACTGTGACCTTAAAATGAAAAATGCTAATAACCGACGTTTCGGGCATTGGCCCTTATAAATATACTGTAACGGTAAAATATTAGCATAAGACACGTCGTCGACCGATAAACATAATTACATTTAAAAAAAAGTATTTGTATTCACTTTATTATTTATTATTTTCTATCTACGTGACTTTACCGAAAGAACTAAAGAATATTAATTCCTGCAGTCACCCAAGTTTTAAGTCAACATTTAAGTGAAAATGTAATTACAATTAGGTCGCGCTTTTCATCAAGGATCTCAAAGCGCTGTACAGGGCACAGCAGCAGCTGACACAGCATAAAATAACAATAAAAATATTCCTGGGTCTTTCGGTAAAGTCACGTAAATAAGTTGAAAGAAAATGACAAAAAATTACAAAAAACTACGACGTTTCGATGCCAGCAGCCAATGATAATGTAATAAATACATTTGAAAACACTATTTACATCAAGGCTGATGAGTATTAATTACAAATCTGGTCAAGTCTTCTTTGTTATGACACTTGTAGGTTTTAAACGGCGGTACGTACGTCATAGGTTTTGGTGCCGTTCAATGTAAACCAATCGCGTTACGTCATGACCAAACATGATTACGTCAGCGCGTTTGCAACCACTTGTCAATCGTCCACACCCCCCTTCCACGTAACGACGCCGCGTAGACGTCATCCCGAACCTACGCCACTGCGTAGGGCGGGGGCCTGGGTGGCGAAACGCGCATTCAGCGGAATGACGTCACTGCACATATTTATACACTCACAACGCACCCGCGTACGAAACGTTCACCACCGCGCGGTGACGTCACGCGCCGAGTTTCCTCGGACGTTCCGCGCAACGCGATCGCGCACCGGCAACCCGCGCGTCGTCGTCGCGCGTGCGCGGTGACGTCGCGGGTGCGCGGTGACGTCGCGGGTGCGCGGTGACGTCACGAGTGCGCGGTGACGTCGCGCCGGACCCACGGCACGTCACGGCTCGCGCCAGCCAACGCCGCTCGGTCGCCATTTTGTCCGCGATCCGATTCGCCGACTCGCCGCGCCGCCCCGGACCAATCAGCGCGGCACCGCCCGGCGTAAGTCCCCCTCAGCCGCGACTCGTCCAACACGAACCATAACCTAGGGGAACTTCGCATCCCGACTCTTTCGAGTTCGAGGAAACTTAAAACATCGCCCCGATATTTTTTGCCTTTCACAACCGCCGCCACCCCCCCCCCACCCCCATCATTGCAAATGGCGACGGCCTCTTGTTGGCTCGTTCCTCAGTGGTCGTTGCTTTTTTTTATTCGCCTGTGTCGTAGCCTCGAGGCGATAATTGATCGTAGTTTTTGCTCAGTGGCGTGCGAAGAGTTTGTGAAATTTCTTATACGCTGCGACACATCCCATGTGTTGCTCCGTGGTTTTTTTTGTGTTTGCTATTTGTAGCGTATGTGTGGCGCTTTCGATTGGGTTTGCGCCGTCACGTGGTGTCGGCCTGGCCCAATAGGACCGCGCGGCTTGCCTGCCTCCCCCCACGCTGTTTGTGGCCTCTGTGAAATGTAGGCGCGCAGCTCAATTGTTTACAACGGAATGGGAAATGTTGCGTTTTTAAGTGATCCGGGGGGGTAATACAGCCCTTGCATACATACAAGGCAAGAGAAATACATACCTGTCAATCCATACGGTTTACCCGTATTCTTGTCCAGGGAAGTTTAGTTTGCAGGTCCATACGGCGTACAGCCGTTTCAATACGGGCAAAAAAAACCCATGTCTATTTGTGTGTTTTGTCCTTGTGATGGGACTTTGTAGGATGGACGTTGAGATTTATAAGGGCACGGGGTGACCAATAAGGTCTGAATTGGCTTGTAATAAGCTAGGCGCTGAAAATGTGTTGACGGGTATGGTAATAAGATATACGTTTTTTTCTTAAAAGCCACAGTACAAATGTGAGCCCATTGAAATAAAAGTTTAATTTGTATTTTCATAAAATGTAATCTTCGGGATATACAGTACCAGGTGATTAATAAATCTAAAAAGCCACATTAACAATGATTGTTGCCACTGCTGGATGAAGGCCTCCATTCAACACGGTCCAATTGCTTGTTGCCATCTCTTCTTGCACAAGGATTACAATATACAGTACAGTACATTGCACGTGCAGTATATAGTACTGTTGATGGTTTACTTTCCGTGGCGGTCGTTCCCAGATATGTTCCTTCCTTTGGTTCTCATGCAGCAATCAACATTTCTAGCGGTGTGTCCTGCTGAAGTTCGCTTATGTTTATTGTTAGTTTGATTTTTGTGTCGGCAATAATGATTTAATCCCGAAGAATATTCTATGTTTCATTGCAAATCCCAGCATCTTTGCTTATTATACTGTACTTGCATATTTAATTTTCCAATGTCCATGTTTTAAAGCCATGTCACTGATTATACATCTACCGTATAAGTGCATACATCGGAAGCCACTGCAACTTAAATTTTACTTTAAACCGTTGAAAGAAATACATTCTGTTTTGCAGACATTTTTTGCCGATACTTTATCCGTAAAACAACTGTGAAGCCTTTGTAAAATTATTCCATCATTTGTATTGTTTATCATGAATGTCGTCAGCGTATCTGAGAATCCATATTATCTCCATGTTTATACAGAGATTTGTGGAATCTTTTGGGGGAAATATCGGCTTTATTATAATTGGCTCTCAATTTAGTCTAAATATAATTCTTAAGAAAGTCCTGAAATCATTCCATAGCAGCATGCTGCTGTTTGATATGTAGTGCAGAGAGAAATACTCGAAAGTACTACGGCAACGATTGAACTATATACCGAACTGACTGAGCTTTAGCGATAGTTTTTTTTATTGCACAGTTCAAATGAGTTATCAGTGACATTCATTTTAAGTAAACAGCATCACTGCCTTCAAAACATGGGTATTTGAATGCCTTAACCATTTCAACTATGGGTATAAACATAAATTACACAATGTATGGTGTTTGCCAGTACTGCAGGTCAGCTTCAGCAAGCCATTTATAAAACAGTTCATAGCCAACATTTGGTCCTGATTTGTATTTCTTGTTTTCTCTTGTATCGTTTCTGTGTAAGAAGTAAACTATGGAGCAATTCCAAGCCAATGGTCAGGCGGGAGAGCAAATGATCGTTCAAAGCCAATTACAGCAACAGGTATTGTCCCACACCACACACCACGTTTCTCACAATGTGCTTTTTTAATTCAATCTTATTGGGTTTCATTATACTTTGACGCGATATATATTGCATACAGGTGTTTTTACAATTATTATTTGTGAGCACAACCTTGGTCAGCAAAGTGTAATTATTTGCAAACAACTCCCAATACACCATTTGCTTACATATACATTTTTAAAACAGTTGTAATCTATCGCACCAGTTAATTAACGTTGTGGCACTAATCACGGTGAAAATGTATTCAAGCGGGGTGTTTCAATTAGTAAAGAGGCTTAATACATCTGTAACCCTTGTCAGTGCGATTTGTGCAAAAATAGCATCATGGCAATTTGTAAAACGATGAAACTTTTCTTGATCTGAGGCCTTATTATCAACACTGTTACCTATGCGCCCATCAAGGTCCATGCATGCATCGTCTTGGCACTGCACACCTATTATCTGCACCCTTCATTGGATAAGAGGAAATAACCTGCAAGTGTTCATCCTGTCATCCATATTTTCTCCACACTTTTCAGCTTGGATAAAGTTAATAAGATGTGTGAATTAACATGAATAGGATCTGCCAAATAGCAATCCCCCATGTTAAATCATACGAGTTCACTGTATCGTTTTTCCTGATTTTTGCAGACGTAATAAAGATGGTGCTGCATTTGCACATATGCACGATGAAAAAACAGAGCTGGTTATTATTATAGTTTACTTAATAATTATTAGATCCTCTTTACTAATTCAAACATTTTAGCATATTTAGAAAAAAAACTGCTTTGTAGTTTTGTTGCAGCACTTATACTCTATGAACGTATAAAACAAGGACTGGTAAGACAATTTAATTATTAGCACGAGGACACATATAATTTATCCACAAGGTTGTGGTGTGTTATTGCGCTCTGTGCTAGTTGTACGTGGGTTGTGACCGGCGAGACGTGCTGTATGTATGACGCTGCCCTCCTCCCTGACCGCCACACAGGCCACCAATGTAGCCACAGTGCAGATTCAGTCGCCGACGGGCAGTGGGCCGGCACAAGTACATTCCGTGCAGGTGGGCTGGGCATCCCATTGTGTATCTGCTCCTCGTGTGTCGTGACCACAAACCCTCTCACTGCCTACACGTATTAACAAAGCGACTCGTGGGGACAAAGTTGAAATACGTAGCTGTCAAAGCAAGTACAGTCACTTTGTTATATAAATGACAACCATGCGATTGGTACACATATCAGGCTGCAGATTTTGAAAGTCCTCGAGTTTAGAGTTGAGGGTATGGATATTTTCTCAACTGATGGCTTTTTTGGCAAATTAAAAATGTGATCGGCATGAAGTTTGTGGAATGGCAATTGTCTTTGGTTCATCTGCAGAACTCATTGAATATATTGTAGAATGTCTGCGGCAAAATGGTGTATTATTCAATTCTTCATGTCCATGTGTTGGTGATTGGAAGCAAAAAGTTACGCACGTGATTTCAAGCAGTCATTGTACAAATCTATTGCTCAAATGAATTCCTAGTTTTGATATGAAGCAAGCAGATAATGTAGAGGCCCACTAGTATTCAATAAAATGTGATTTCTTTTATCTTAAATATGTTTGACATATATTTGTAACTGATCTGAAACAGTTTACTGTTTTGAGCATACATTTTGATTTAAAGCTTTTGTGACTGCAGGTATTCATATTCTTGGTTCTTTCGGTAAAGTCACGTAGAAGGGAAATGATAAAATAATAAAAATATAAAACAATTAAATTCTCACAACGTTTCGACTGCAACACCAGCAATCATCAATTTTCTGGCTGTGGTTTTCACAGCAAGAAACATTTCTTGCTATGGTGTTCACACCTGATGATGATTGCTTGTGTTGCAGTCGAAACGTCGTGAGAATTGTATTGTTTTATATTTTTATTATTTTATTGTTTCCCTTCTACGTGACTTTACCGAAAGAACCAAGAATATGTTTTGAGCATGTTTTGGCTCCATTTGCATTCACGTTATTTTGGACATGCATTGTAAAATGGGAAATACTATATATTAATAGGATGTATTTATGCAGTCGTTAAGTTTCCCTCGTACAAATGAGCAGATGTATCTACTTGCATTTTAATAAGCCAAAATTTTATCAAACGTTTATAGATGTAATATGCTATTTTAAGACAGTAAGTTAATATTTCTGTATCAAAACTTGTTAAAATTAACTTTAACCAGTATGCTTACACAACTATAATGCATTTAATGTGCCCAGCTCAAAGCTGAACAACATTTTGACTAAACCATTCTCTTTTATGCTTTTCAAGTTCAACATTTCATTGTGTAGAAATGCTGTACGAATATATATTTAGGGTTTCCAAGTGTTATGTAATGGGCATCAATTAAAGACTGGCCAGCAGATATATTAAATATTGTTTTTAAACAGTAGTTGAATATATTAACTTGATTTAATTTTCTTGCTCCGACTATGCAACATTGTTTATTAAGTCAATGTGTTCTTCTCTGTAATATAAATTATGCAACACAATACATTTTAGATTTAGTTATCATTTAGATGAGACCATCTCAAGATGTAGCACGCTGATGTACATGCTACTTTTTAGAAACGATGTTCCATGGGTAGCAATACATTAGCAAATGTAAAAAAAAATCTTACTTTTACACAATAACACATACATACTAGTGAAAATATGTTTGATGTGGGGGATGCAAATTTTATGAATATAACATTTGAAAGCTGTAAAGGGTTAGCAAATTTAAAGCCAACATGACATGAGAGACCAAACCCTGGAAACTCCTAAATATATATAAATAAAACTGTGTTGCTGTACCTTTTGTTCTGCTTAGATAGCAAGAACAGTGCTTGTATTTGGCATTGATTGTGCAAAGCATTCTGAATTTTGGGGTTCTGCGAGATTAACAGTGACTAACAATTGATCTTCCTATGAAAAATCGGCGTACTTACTTTATTGTGATCACATTTTCATAGATGTTTCCCCCCCCCCCCCCCCCACAGTTTTTGTTACTTATATTTTACCTTAGATTTGAGAAAGAAAATCCCCACAAACCAGATGCTTTAGTGATGTTGCTTTTTGTTTATTTGATGCATGTCAAGGATTTGTGCTGGTGCTATTAATTGCCATAAATGGCTTTGCAGCAAGAGACGAAACAAGTATTTGGTCATCTTTGTGTGCATTAATATATTTATATAATATTTTCTATGTTTTATATTACTTATGTGTAATAACATCTACAGGTTCAAATTAAAATATGATAATTCCCTACTTGAATCCTTGATTGTTATATTTTTATCTTAATTTTTGTAAGCCTTTCATTTAAGTTGATGAATGACAGTGGTCCTAACACTGACTGGATAAAGACCTCACCGTTTATTGTAGACCAAGTTAACTTATTAATGTGATACTTTGTGTGTCAGCCTTTAATGGTGCAGGTGAGCGGTGGGCAACTCATCACATCCACGGGGCAACCAATCATGGTGCAGGCCATGGCTGGACAAGGCCAAACCATTATGCAGTTGCCTGTGTCTGGAGGTCAAGGAATCCAGCAGGTATCTACACTAGCTTCTGCACGCACACCGGAATTCTTATTGATGGAACCATAACCCACAGTGTATCATGACTCGTATGGCTGTGGGGCAGTGGTCATATACATTGGCAGCCTTGAGCTAGTGGTGGAAATTACACAGACTCACAGTCAGAGTGAGTCTACCCATAGGGAAACCACTGTTGACTTCCACAGAGTAGTACTCATCATCCCTTTAAGTGTCGTGATGAATCAATTGCCCAACTGAAATTTTGACTGTTAACTTTATTTTTTGTGAATTGCTTTCTCTACTACGTAGCCACTTAATGAATGTTGGTGCATGTGGCTGCTTTCAGATGCATTGTGTGTGTGCGTGTGCGTGCCTTCATCAAGTGTAAATGCCTTCACTGCCGCCCAGATTCAGCTGCTGCAGCCGGGGCAGATACAGATCCACGGAGGGCAAACCCTGCAGGTACAGGGGCAGCAAGGGCAACATCAGCCAATCATCATCCAGCAGCCCCAGACTGCTGTCACTGCTGGCCAGACACAGGTAGTGGAATACACCGGTGCTGAATTTACAACTACTTGCTTATGTCCCTGATAATTGATGGTGCTGCTTCAGATTTTTATAATGGAGATAACAGTGAAAAGTAGTATTCTATGCAAATTGTGCATTAAACAGAAAATCAATGCATTGTTTCCTGACTGGTAAAAGGGACAGCAGACGGTGACAGTGCAAGGCCAGCAAGTGGCACAAACAGCGGAGGGGCAGACCATTGTCTACCAACCCGTTAATGCTGACGGCACCATTCTGCAGCAAGGTACTTGTACACTATTAGCTATCTCATGTTCATACTCTTTGGTTCTTTCGGTAAAGTCACGTAGGTGTAAAATAAATTAAATCACGTGACGTTTCGGGCGCAACACAAGCGTCCGTCATCAGGTTGGACAACCACAGCAAGAAACAATTGCTGAAGTGGGAAAGAGGGCTGCTGTAACAAGAGGTTATATTGGTGTGGTTGTCCCACCTGATGACGGACGCTTGTGTTGCGCCTGATGACGGACGCTTGTGTTGCGCCTGAAACGTCGTGATTTATTTTATTTTCTACCTACGTGACTTTACCGAAACAACCAAAGAGTATGGATCCCTGCAGTCACGAAAACTTCAAATCTAGATCTCATTTTAATTGTGAGGCTTGTTCTCTTCACGCTTAGATACCTGGGCTATAGGTGGTTCAGTTAGCTTTTGTGTGCTTTTTTGTGCATATATTTATTGGTAAGTTGAATGCAATTGTTTTCCCTAAATTGTTCTGGAAGATTTTGTTGCGCCTGAATTATGAAGCAGCTTTTTTTAGAATCTCGTATACCCTGTTAACCTACCACGAAAAAATACCTAAGATTTCTCATATGCATTAAATATAAGATACAGGGTGTTTCAAAATATGGACCCAATTTCAAAGCAGTATATTTCACGATGGCAACATGTTACAATTACACAAAAAGTTACTAAGGGTTTAATGAGTTATCAAGTTTTACTAACCATTTTATAAATGCTCTATGTGCCTTTCACCTGCTGTAGGACAACATCGAGACGATAGTTGAATTCGTCCCAAACGCCTCTCAAAGTGTCTTCTTCCACTGAAGTCAATGCTGCCGTGATTCTTTTTTGAGGTCATCCAGATTAGTCGCTGATGGTGGCACAAAAACACCACGGTCTTTTGTGCCACCATGCTCTTTGACATTGGCGGATCAATGCCAAAACGCCGTTGAAACGCACGCTGCACCGCAATTACGGATTCAGTCTTGCAGAACTGCAGAACGCAAAACGCCCCTTGTGTTGCGGGGTCGCCATCTTGCGAATGACTAATGCGAGGGGCTGTTTGTGCGCTGGGAGGGGCATCTAGCGGTAATAATTTGAAACTCTATGCCCCGCCCTTTCAAGTGGTAAGAGTTTCATTCGAGGGCGGTTCATCGTTGCAGAGATATAGCGATTTCAAATCGGGTCCATCTTTTTTAAACACCCTGTTTATTTTCTATAATAAGTGTTTTCTCACTTAACTCTTTCCCGTTCCGAGCCTTCTGTATATTGCAAGGTGGGTCCCATTCACTGCTGAATTTTGGAAAGTGCGAGCGGTTCACGTTTACCGTATTTTCCCGCATATAACCCCCGGGGTATACCACTTTTTACAAACAAAACAAGACCCTGCGGGGTATATGGAGGTGTGGGCTATCCCAAAAATATTTTACACGTGTGACATGTCATAACTCGTTAGATGTTTTCATGGTAGGACTATCCACTATGCAACACTTACCTTTGACTAAAGCACTGCTGAATAAACCACTCGCACTAAAATTGCACATGTTATCACGTTTTAAATGAATTGCTTGTACAATTAAACGACAATGTTTGAAGTGCCCGCACTGTTTACCGGCGACGGGAGAGCTGGGGGGAGAGGTGGGGGTTGGGGGGTGGGGCAGCTGGGGGGAGAGAGAGGTGGGGGTTGGGGGGTGGGGCAGCTGGGGGGAGAGAGAGGTGGGGGGTGGGGGGTGGGGCAGCTGGGGGGAGAGAGAGGTGGGGGTTGGGGCAGCTGGGGGGAAGAGAGGTTGGGGGCGAGGCGATGGCGATACCGTAGTGCCACTATTATCTGCGCAGTGCGCAATCTACCAGTGCTAAAACTATTTACCATACTTATCTACCAGTTATGTTACTTATTTATTCGATAGTTACTTTTGTTACTTATTTACTGTTTTAAGTTCACTCGTTTCCGGTTAGTTTTCTTTGTGCACATTGTGATTTTAATGTTAACAATTGATAGTGGAATGTATTACAAATGTAAACTTCGTATTAATTTGATGGAATTAAGCTGCGGTAACGACGTTAAATATATGAATGCATGCGGGGTATATGGAGGTGCGGGCTATCTGAAATTTATTTTACAGAAAACGCTATTTTTGCGGGGTATATGCGTATGTGAGTGCATAGCACCATTGTTTTGAAAGACATTCACTACAGAACTGTAGCAACACGACCACACTCTATGATAGCTAGCACCAAAGTGTGCCACACAACCTTCCGCATGCCCTTGTGGGAGCTTTTGTACCGATAAAGTTAATTTATTTGATTGTACATCATCGGAATGGAATCCAAAAAAATACTAATGACGTACACATTCGTTAATGCATGTACATCATCGGAATCGTAAATTAAAGTCAGTGCCTTGGCAGATGGTGTTAAAAGTAGTTTTTTGTGAGTAAATACCTCATCACACATCGTCAGTAATTCACCATAATTTATAGCCAGTGACGGTACTATTTGATATAATTTGAGTAAAATAATATTTTTGAGGAGCGGATAGTCTTTATTTGTAATGAAAACCCTTTGCATAACCACTCCAGTAAATGTTTGATTAAATTTGTTCACTTTTTGAGAAAGTAGGGTACCACACACAAAAAAAATGGCAATGGGGAAATGGCAGGACAAAATACTTATTGGCATAAATATATGAATAACTGAAATAGCTTATGCTGATTAAAAAGAGCTCATTTGATTTTCTGTCATTCACCACAGGTTTAATGTGTGCAAATAATAATTTTATGCATCTGATTTATTGCTGTGGCTGTTCTTAACCTTTGCATTTCAAAATATTATTTCACTTGATGGAAGTACTTTTTAAAGAAAATCTTACACAGCTCTGGCCATACATATAAATGTTCTAATTCTTCGTGTTTTGTCCCTGTTTGTCCCCTGACCTGTTGTATGTGCTTGACTGTCTCTTGTGATTATTTCCATTTGCATCTTGTTTCTTTGCACCTTCATCGGGTTGATCGTTGCCTGGGGCCTTTTTTGTTTGGTTTTATTTTGGATTGTTACACTTTGTGGTGTCGCTAAAGTGGCAGTACCCGTTACAGGTGTGATCACCATCCCGGCGTCCAGCCTGGCCGGTGCCCAGATCATGCAGGCGGGGGGCAGCCCGGTGTCCACGAGCACCAACAATCAGGCCATCACCGTCACCTTGCCCGTGTCTGGAAACGTCGTCAACGCTGGAGGCATGGTCATGGTGCGGTTACACGGCACGCAATGCATGGGCACGCAGCAACAGCCATAGTGACAGCACTGAGCATGTCGTTTACCCAAGCGTGGTGGTGCATATTCTCGGTTCTTTCGGTAAAGTCACCACGTAGAAGGGAAACAATAAAATAATAAAAAAATATAAAACAATTAAATTCTCACGACGTTTCGACTGCAACACAGGCAATCATCATCGGGTGTGAAAACCACAGCAAGAAAAAAAACGTCGTGAGAATTTTATTGTTTTATATTTGTATTATTTTATTGTTTCCCTTCTACGTGACTTTACCGAAAGAACCAAGAATATGAATCCCTGCAGTCACAAAAGCTTTAAATCAAAATGGTGGTGCATGCTTGGAATTCAGCAGATAAGAAGGTAGTGTTGGTGGATTGCGCTAATTATATTTTGTGTGTGACACCCATCCTCTTGCCACTAATCGTGAAGTGGGTAGACCACAGTTGATCAGAAGATCGCGTGTCGTGGCCTAAATTGGAGGTAATCGCACCTCTTACAAAATGTCTGCTCAGCATAGAAGAGTAGACCAAACACTTTCCAGAGGGGATTTCAAGAGCTACAAGTGGAAGCCATTCTGCCAGCAGTGGCGTCAGCAAAACATTTCATAGCTGCACTTTTAACTTTTACCCATCCTGTATGGCAATGAGGTGGGCAGTTGATGACACCACAACAAGTAGTTTAAATTGAACTTTGCATCAAGATTTTTGTAGTGTTAACTCGTTTTGCATAGGCTGCTTCTGCTTTCAACCATTTATGTCAACACACACAAAAACACTCAATAACTAATTAAGCAAACATTATAAAAACTACCTGATGAAATACTGGTTTTGGGAGTTTTTTCAAATAATCTAAAAGCTTTAGTTCTCCCTGCCAGGCATGGTGGTGGCTAATCAGCAGAAACATTTTCACAGAGTTGACTATTCATTTGTCTTTTTCTTCCATCAATTTCATCATGGAATTTACGTGAAAAAAAACTCATGACTTTTACTGTGTAACTCTATAAACCAGGTCTCATTTTCAAAATAGATAATGAATCTCAAGGACAAAATGAATAATAGATGGACAGAGTCATAATGCTTTTGTCCAACCAGGACTGTTGCTGTGCACATGTGTTTGTGTGTAGTCATGTATCTTCATTTGTATGTATGTTCATGTGTGCATGTGTTTGTTCACTTGTGTGCCTGCAAGTGTTGAATGTGTTTACGAGCTTTCTTGTGTGTGCATGTGCATCGGTTTTCTGGTGTATAGTCATCCTTGCATATTTGTGTGTGTATGTATGTATCTGATTAGGGAGTGATAGTGTAGCGGTTAGCGCGCTGCGCTACCGTGCCGGCCTTTATAGGTGCCCGAAAACAGCGCTTGCCCCAAAAGTATGCTAAGCCTATGCGGGGGATCTTTGTATGTGATTGCATAAAGAAACTAATTCTAAGTCAGCCTTGGTAGGAGATAAAAGTCAGTCTTGGTAAAAGTGTATCACCTTGTCCGACTCCTCTTCTGATGTATAAATTCCTGGGCTCATGTGTGCGTGTCTCAGCAAGTGGTACCGGGAGCAACGGGACAGGTGCCACAGGTCGCCCACCGTATCCCCCTCCCGAGCGCTGAACTGCTGGAGGAGGAGCCCCTCTACGTGAACGCGAAGCAGTACCACCGCATCTTGAAGCGCAGGCAGGCACGCGCCAAGCTCGAGGCAGAGGGCAGAATTCCCAAGGAGCGCAAGGTGGGCAGTCCATGTTTTGCATTAACTGTTTTTACCCTAATATTATATTAGTCTAGATAGAGCCAAGACAAACAAGACACATTCTCGCTGCACTAACAACTCATCCTTGTTTGTGGTGCCGGGGCCATTCTCTAGGGTAGGATGTGCAGCAATGACCTCCCACTAAAATGGTAAAATTTTATTAACCTGATTTGAACTTGCAACTTTCCACTTGTAGGTTGTGCACTGCACTACCCAAGAATAAAATATAGCATTAAATTGTCAGGACATCCTACTGTTGTATTTATGTTGAACTTCTTTTGCACCGTATGTAGCCAATCGTGCTAATCGGAGGTGCGGGGGAAGGACATCAAACTAAATACAACAAGCACTTCCCAAGAAATTAGTTTATATATGCATGTTGAACTTGTGTCGGGTCATTTCATACCAAATCAATCAATAATATATTTGACCAAACCCAATTTCAATAACATTTGGTGAACAACTCTATATTTGAAAAAGATGGCTACCACCCATTTTAGGTCATTATAATTTGCCGTATAGGCTACTGAAGTTTGACCCAACAAGACAAGTTTGTGACCTGCCAGGTTTTGGAAAAAGGTGAGTGGTGTCAATTTAAAGATCTTTAAGAGATACATTTTTATGAAGCTATGAAAAATCTGATAAAAGTTAAAAGACCAATAACATCAAAACATTTTTGCACATTTTTTCCAATAAAACAAGTGCTGCTTTATGCGATGTCAATGTTGTTGCCATTTTAATTGTGAAAATTATACCACTGGCTCAGGGCTGGCATTGGAGATGATCACATCTCCATTGTGTGAGCAGGGAGACACACGCACACAGACGCACATACTCACGTATGACACTTTCATTTTGCTCAGAAATACCTGCACGAGTCTCGTCATCGGCACGCCATGCAGAGGCAACGTGGGGAAGGAGGGCGCTTCCACACGTTAGGCGACAAGGAGAATGAAAACGAAAATGTAAGTCCTGGTTAGCAGCACTGCTCCTTTTCAACTTTTGTACACTACATCATGCTCTGTTGTCCTGCAAACATTCTCCTAGCTTGAATTGTTTTTTTAATCATCATGAAGATGATACAATATAAATTAAACCTCAATGTCAAGTTGTATTACTGTTAGGGACTTACCCTATTAAAAACTGGCCAAATTGATTAGAGGGATTCCCAAATCTCGGTGATAAATAATGTTTTGTCTTAAGTAGAAAGCCTTTTTGGCCGAAGCGATGATTCCACATGGCATCCACGCATATTGTGATGATGTCGCACATAATGACGTCATCGGGAAGCACGTACACTGTAAGGTCATCACGTTGTCATGGGTCCACGGTCATGGAAATTCCTGTAAAATAAATCTTATGAATGGCCACATTTTTAAAGGTCAGAGAAATTCAACCAGGCAGCCATTACAAATTGAGGGCTTTTTGAGTCTCTCAGTTTGATTATTTCTATAAATATGGATTTAAGTACACATTTTCAGACATTGTATTCTTATGATTCTCATGTATGCCTTGACTATCATGTGGCAGTCAGTCTACTAACTAACTGCTATTTTTATTTGACCAGGTAAGGCCCACTGACCACTATAGCTCTTTTCCAGAAGCAAGCTGGCCACAAATCAGAATTAGAATATTCATTTTTACTGGAGGAATCCGATGAGCTATAAAGCAAAATATTCTTAAACACATGTTTCTAAATGTGGAGGGAAATACCGTAGGACCCGGATAAAAATGCACACGACCACAGGGAGAACATGCAAGCCCCCAATATAAAGGCTTTAGGGTCGGGATCGAAACCAACGATCTCCTGTATACCACGCAAGGTAGTTAACATCTCGCCACTGTGGTACATCAGTCATTGTCTGTACTTACCAGACTAAAAAAGCCATTGTTTAAAACTGGAAGCCTTAAAGGGTGTGGCGCTATAATACGATAACAGCTGACATGAAATAAAAGCGTACACTTGGAAGTAGGCGTGTCTTTGCCCATATATGGTTTTGTTGCGTCAAAGCTGGCATATTTTAGGTGTTTTGGATCGCAAATTGCAATCCATAACATTGATTCAGCGCCCAAAACATCGACGGACATTGTTAAACACTACTTACTGCATAACTTTAATATAAATCGGACACCATTTAACATAACATCGGACATTGTTAAATATCTGTTTAAGAGCAGGGCGTGTTTTTCAAGTTCCGCGGAAAAATTATTGATCAGAATCAATAACATGTAATCAATGACAACGATTCATTCGTGGAACGATATGGTAACGTCATGCTCAAGTGCCACGCCTACCTTTTTCCCTTTCTTTAATTGGCTATGCGCCATTTTTATTTCAGTCAGCTTTTATCATATTACAGCGCCTTTTACCGCCAGAGCTATAGCAATTCTCTTGTTTACTCATCATCTGTAGCTGTTTGTTGTACACGTCCTCTGGTAATGGTCTGCGTAGATCCTGGTGTTGTGGTATAGGGATTTCATCTTGCAGTGCACCAACTCGCTCTGAAACTAAAATGTACTTTAGAGCTAAACTAGACTCATTCCAGAACCACAAGAAATGAAGTAGTTCTTTCATAAATGTGTCTTGTCATGAGCACAGTGGTGCATGTGTAGTGGCTGTGTATGTCACTGTGTGGTGCCGGGCTTACGAAGCCACGGCGGATAATGTGTTGGCATTTTGTGTAGCCCGCTTAATGGGCAAAGTACCAGCCCTAGCGGGGCTTGGGTGAGCGCTGGTCAGCGCGGAGGCACCACGTACAGTGTGCGGTGTGGGCTCCTGGTGAGGGAGCGAGAGGGAGTGTCAGTCAGCCAGGGTTACGTTGGGGCATGATACGCTGGTTGTCCTGCCGACACTTGACCGGATAATATTGGAGGGGGGCCACCGGTGGACGGGGGCCGCTGGGCGGTCACGTGGTATAAAAGAGCTCTCAGGAGCCTTCGGGAAGGAGCTCGAGAGATATAACGGGGGCCCCGTGAGGGGCTCGGGGTTCTTCATGTTGCTGGTGAAGAAGATCCACGTCGGGTAAAATAAGCCTCTAGCCACGCGGTCCAGGACCCAGCTTGTGGTCCGGGCCGGGATAGCGAACCGTGTCTAGTTCTGCCGTAGCGTGGCTCGATGGACATTCAACACCCAAGTGTAGGTTGTGTTATGTTATGTTTAAGTTACTAGAATAAATAGTGTTGCTCCCAAGACAACGTCCGCGACTCAGTTGGACTCACTACACATGTGTAATAAACGCCTTCAAGGACGATTCGTGTAGAGGGTGCTTTCTTTATTTCCCAACTCCAAATATTCTCCCGGATGACAATGCCCTTAGACGACGCGTACCTCCGATCCGCTGGCAGAGTCCGCCCTGCTCTCTCGGCCTCGCCGCCAATTGGCGGCGTGCCGGAGGGGAGAGGCGAGCTCCGCTAGGGATCCGCCACGTGGTCGGGCGGCGAAGAGAGAATACGACGAGCATCGACGTAGTTCAGACCCAAGGCCTCCCATACCGACCACGAGTCGTCCTCCGCCCCTGCTTATATTTCCCCGGGCGCGGCTAGGCTCCGCCTCTGGCCACGCCCTCTCATGGAATCTTCTCGATAGTTCCCGAAGCATCTCTCCCGACTCCGCCCATCACCTTTGGCCCAGATACTGTTCCCTCTTAGGATCAGATGGTGTTACATAATGGTGCCGGTACCGAGTTACCCTTTAGCAACCAATCGATGGCACTCTCTCATTACACATGTTAAAGTCAATTATAGGTGAAATGTGATCTGGTTTGGATACAAAATTGGGAATTTTTTTGTTGACTTTAAGGGTGTTTTTAATAGATTGTTCTCCATGAGGCCAATTTAAAAATAAATGTTTTCTTTACATTTATGTCCGATCTAACTATTACGATCTGGTGACTTGTTTAATTGAATATTTCATCACTTGCTTGTGAGTCTTTAGTGTTGAAGTGGGTCAATTGGACGACTAAGGGAAAGAGGCCATCTTGACAAAAAAAGATGATTGTGCTTATCTTATATATCATGTTGATCAATATAATTTCTTGTGTACAGATCCATATAAGGAAAATGTAGAAATGTTTGTTCAGGGAAGACATCACACTTAAATTCTTCCTTGAAAAATGTGTGCATTTTCTACTATAGGGCTCGCAGCAAAGTATCAAGTAAATCTCTCCTTTGAAGTGATAAACTTATGTATTCCAAATTGATTTTGTGCATTGGTACAGGATGATACATTTTTCCCTATAAACGTATGTATGTTGAACTTCTTTCGCACCGTACATAGCCAACCGTGCTCGTCGGAGGTCAAAACATTGTTTTCATCACTACTTTACAAGTGTGGGATTCCACAAGTGAATTGCGATTTTGGCATTGTGACTTTGGCAAATGTGTGGTAAGGTATGCAAGCGTCAGGCCAGTACCAAACCACTGTTTTAGGATGTCAGAATCTATTGTATATGTAGTGACATCGGGGATGTCACTGTATGGTGCCGGCCCGGGAGGGCCGTGGCGTGCGATGTCCCTACATCGCTGACAGCACCGGGTGGGTTGCTGTGTGATGCCGGCTTTAGCATAGCACGGCGTGTGATGCACCGTCATCGCGTACACCCCGTAGGTGGGTGTAGTACCAGCCCTAGTGGGGCTTGGTGAGCGCTGGGATAACGAGGGTACCACGCATAGCGTGCAGTGCGGGATCCCACAAGGGGGAGCGGAAGAGTGTCAGCCCAGGAGCAGGGTTGCCCTGGGCCATGGCACTCTGGTTGACCCCGTAGACACGTGATCTGGAGTGTCCACAGAGAAGGCCCCAGATGGGGGGGATAGGGGGTGATCACGTGTCCAGGGAGAGCTCTCGAGGGGGATCGAGAGGGAGCTAGAACGCTCGAGAAGGCGGGCAGGGCCGAGGGCGGAGCGGCCCCGACCCGGGAGGATATAAGGTGGGTCCCTGAGAGAGACCGGGGTCGCTGCATTCGTCAAACTGGAAGTTCTACGTCTACAAGCTGGAAGCTCTACGTCTTACAAGGCATCAACACGTGGTCGGGGACCCGAGTGAGGGTCCAACCCTTCGTAGCTGTAACTCCTACATATAGAGTAGTTAGCTGGGTGGTCACCACCCTAGGCTGTATCTGGTAAAGGGGCAGTTACCGCTTTGTGTTAACGTGTTGATGTTAAATAAATGTGTTGCCTCTAAAGAATAACGTCTGCGACTCAGTTGGACTCCAACTACAACTGGTCTCAGAAGTGGCCAACACGCTAGTCTATCCAGCTAGCAGTAGACTGCCTACACGTCGCAGATCACGTACCAGGACGTCGGACAGCGAGGACGAGGATCTCGCGCCGCCTGCAGCTCCAGAGGATGCGGGGGAGACGCTGCCAGCGGAGCAGGGCGCCATCGGGCGCTCGACGCGTCGCCGTCGGCAGAGGCGACCCTCCGGGAGGCACACGGTCGCCTCGCGGAGCTCCTCCATTTTGTCGCCGGCGCGAAGCGCGCAGCCTGCCAAAATTGAAGACGCGCGCCGTAGGCGCCGAGGGACATCCCGGGTCTCCGACGTCGTCTTCCCTTTATTAAAGAGTTCGCGGCTACCAGTGGCGACCAGAGTGCAGCTATCTACGAGCATCTGGCGGACACGAGCCACAGGTTCGCCACGCGGCGGAAGGGGGAGACCGAGTCGGCCCTCGCCTTTCGTAGCGCACTTTTGGCGCTTGCGAAAGCTACCTTTCCGAAAATGGACCACAAAAGGATCGACGCGTTGGTCCTCGAGAGACTGCTGGCCTTGGCGAAAACCCTCCACACCATTCTTCCAGCCGAAGATGATGACGTCTCGTCTGTCAAGGTCGCTAAGTGCATCCAAGCCCAGCAACTTCTACAACGGGACAGGGCGCAGGTGAGTGACGTGTGACGTCTCCCGCACGGAGCCGGGGGCCACCTGATGGAGCGGGGGGCCCCTTTCGGCATGCGCGCCGACTCGGGGTGGAG